TCAGGGCTTACTCTCTTAGGGATGTGAAAACAGCAAACGTAGAGCCTGTGATACTTGAAGTCGGCCCTTTTGATCTTGTGACCTCAATGCAGAATCAAAAATTCCTGGTGTTTGCCTTCCGGACTCAATGTTGTCACTCAAATTCTGGGGCCCATGATTCTGTGCTCTCCACCCCCTACTCACCACACCCACACGCATATGAAACAAGACTGTATACCTGGGCCTGTGTCGTGGTCCTTCCTACTTAGGACATTGGAATGATGACGCGTTTCATAAACCGAATGAAAAAGCCTTTTTTGTAGTCAACTGTTAATTTTTTTTTCAACTCTGTTTTCTTCCAAGGTAAGAATGCCAACTAGAGTTAGGGAATGATTTAAGGAGTATTATCTAAGATGAATACCTTATTGAAGGTATGATATAATAACTTTTCAGATACCTCAAATGAGAACTGAAAGAGAATCCTGAAAGCCCTCTGTTATGGTGTTGAGCACACAGTCAACGTGGATTTGGGGATTTCATACTGTCTTTAGAGCCCAAGCACAAAAATGTTTCTCTCTCTAATTCGTTATGGTTTTAAATAATTTATGTCAAGAAACTTTTAAGCCCTGTGATTATGTAGATGAATTCTTGGGTGTCTAAGCAGCCTATATAGATTAATGCAATGAAAAATGCAGTGACTTTCCACCCACATTCTCTATATGGGTAATGAAATTATGTGTACACTGATGAACATATGTGCACATGAGTATATTTATATTCATATCATATACTTATTGTGGTAAACTCATCATTGGAATCTGTATTGAAATTATTTATAAGAAAATTAAAGTATCAATTAATTTCTTCTCTTTAAATAAAAAATCCTGTACCTATAGTTGTGATCCAATTTAAAGTTCTCTATCTTTAACAAATGGTTTTGATGGGCTACCATATGCCTGCTGTAGTGCAGAGCATTTTCATAGGTAACATCCCATCACCTCAGCAGCCTTGTTTCACAGATATGGAAGTAGTGTCTTAGAGGGTAAACATAATGGACCCAAAACACACGATTTTGCTATCTACAGCCTGGGATTTGAACTCTAATGTAATACTTTTGCCAAGCTCTAAGAGTTGAGGGGCCCTAAAAATAGACACATTTTATGCAGATCTAATAAAATAATTCACTTAAAAATAGCTCCTGGTTCCCTTCGGGCAAATTATATAAAACACCAGGAAAGAAAGAACTTGTTCCAAACTGGAACAACCAACCAATTTGTTGTGGAAATGAATATCCTAATGTTTTAATTGAATATCCTAATGTCTCTGTCTGCAGTGACTGGTAATAGAAGGAAATGCACTAGAAATAACTCTTTGTCTATTGGATACGAAAGTTACTATGAAAAAAGTATTTGGGACTTGCAACTGTTTTGATAGAAGGAATCACCACTTATAACGAATTTGAGTACTTATTCTTTTCCTCATGATACAAACACAGTGTCATAGAGAAGTAATATTGTATCTTTTTTTTAAATGTAAAGAGATATGCAAGTATATTACATGAATGACTTATGGCAGGGTTCTGTTTGCTTTTTTTTCAATTCGAAAAGAAAGAAATGACCACAGCTTAACATCCTTATAAATGGAGATGGCAACAATGGATGGATTTGAGGGTTACTATAGGACAGAGGTTAAGAGTATATGCTCTGGGCTGGGCATGGTGTTTCATGTCTGTAATCCTAGCACTTTGGGAGGCTGAAGTGGGCAGATTGCTTGAGTCCAGTGGTTCAAGACCAGCCTGGGCAACATCATAAAACTTATCTCTACAAATAAAAAAACAAACCAAAAACATAAAAATAGCTGGGCATGGTGGCATATGTCTGTAGTCCCAGCTACTCAGGAGGCTGAGGTGGGAGGATCACCTGAGCCCAGGTGGTCCAGGCTGCAGTGAGTCATGATCATGCCACTGCACTCCAGCCTGGGTGACAAAGTGAGATCCTGTCTCAAAAACAAACAAGCAAGAAAAAGTATATACTCTGGACCTATATTATCTGAGTTAAATCTCAGTTCTATCATCTACTAGTATGAGACTCAGAGGAAGTTTTTTTCTTTAAAAAAAATCTGTTTCTTATATGTTTGAAGATTGAGAATAAATGAACTTCGATAATCCTCATAATATTTAAAATAAAATAGTGTCTCAAAAACAATCTCTGGCAAAGTAGAAATTCTGTTTTTCAATGGCTTAATTTCATTGTGCTCAGAGACCACTTGTAGTCAGAGGAAAGGTGCTCTTATATTCGAAACATTTGGAGATTTGCACTTAATTTAAATGTCGTTTCTTGCTGTCACTGAACATATTTGGAAACATGAACTTCAAATTGCTTTCTCTTTCAATAACAGTGTAGTGACTGGCAGTGACACAAAATAAGTAATTTTATACGAGAAGACCATTGTACCTCCAGGCTCTAGTCCTCAGTTCACATTTATTGAATTAATGAATCAACCAGGCAATTGACTGACTTAGAAATACTTGCATGGATTATCAAAGGTATGTTGTTCTATTTATTTTTATTTTAAAAAATTAATTAATTTATTTTTGAGACAGAGTTTCACTCTGTTGCCCAGGCTGGAGTGCAGTGGCAAAATCTCAGCTCACTGCAACCTCCACCTCGGGTTCAAGGGATTCTCCTGCCTCAGCCTCCCAAGTAGCTGAGACTACAGGCATGTGCCACTATGCCTGCCTAATTTTTGGAATTTTAAGTAGAGATGGGGTTTTACTGTGTTAGCCAGGATGGTCTCAAGCTCTTGACCTCATGATTCATCTGTCTCATCCTCCCAAAGTGCTGGGATTACAGGCGTGAGTCACCATGCCCATCCTTATTTTTATTTTTTTAAAAATGGGTTTTCACTATGTTGCCAGGACTGGACTCAAAGTCCTGGGCTTGAGTGATCCTCACATCTCAGCCTCTGGAACAGCTGTGACTATTGGGCGACAGCCAGAGGTGTTCTATCATTTTGAAAGAGTACAAAATAGTGATTTTGCTTTATGGAATATGTGGCAATATTACTGAATGTCTTACCTGCTTAGGAAAGAAAACAAAGTTAGAACTGAGGAGTTAAGTTTCTGGTACCTGGGCTGGAGAGTTTTGCTGATTGATCCTGTCATTTTTTAAAGTTGATTTTTATTTTTAAAATTTTATTTTAGGTGTATACTATATCCAGTATTTTCCCCCATGTCATTTTTAAACAATATATACTAACAAAAAGAACTTTCTAAGCCCCAGGGTCCGGTGCTGGTAGGTGAGATAATTTTAGGTGCAAATGAGTATTTTTACAGTAATAACTGTATATTTGGTAGGCATTTAAAAAATTTACATACATTGGTGCACTCCAGTTTGGGAGACAGTATGAGAATTCATCTCAAAAAAAAAAAATTCACATAGATTGTATCATATAAATCGAGCCTCTATTTCTATTTCTGATGACAGCTCCCAGACTTCTCTGTAAAGAGTTGCTGTTCTGCCATTGGAGTCAGTTTGGGTGGCACTATCAGTCAAGGTGCTCCTGTTTGCTGGCCAAGGTGTGTGGCAAATAGATGATGCTTTGTTCCTGGAATCTCAATGAAGTGACACAGAGTTTTCAGTTTAATCTGCCCTGTGACTGCCTTATGATTCCTGTGACCTCTGTCCCTGGGGCTGTCCTAGCTCCTCTCTCCCCAAACCTTCTTCTTCTGCTGATGTTTCCACTCTAGGAGTTACCCTGTATCCTTCCAATATCCTCTTTTATTTTTAAATTCTGTATTACTAGATCAGGGTTTTCTTGTTGATTATATTGAAATAATCCTGTTTCACTTTGTGTGTCATGGATATTTTTGCTTCAGAAAAATTAACATCTTTAAAACAAATTGTTCTAAAGAAAAAAATCTGAATACATAATTGTACAGATGATACTCAGATGTAGGCAAAATTGTGAGGATTGGCAAATGGCTAACGACTGGGAAACATGATAAAAACTGCCATTAACAATTAGCTTCCTGGGTGTGTTTAGGCATTAAAATTGGAGTTACCTTGAAAAATCATTGAAAATCTCAACAAGGATTATATTATTGGGCTGATCTTATTAATGAAAAAACACGGACTTGGAAAAGATAATGTGCTAATTAACATATGAATGGTCTTCAAGGCCTAAAACAAGTTTTGGAAAGGGAATGACATTCTTTCCTGGGTCAAGATCAGGTATTTTTATTTAAAAACACTTACTGCCTATACCACAAAATCTCATTTTTCTTTTCTCAAATAAGGTATTTTATTTTTTATATTATTTTCCCCAATTAGTAAAATACTAAAGGTATAAATCTCTGTCAACCAAATCAAGAATGAGTGATGCCGACAACGTGTATGTGTGTGTTTGTGCACAGTAGGCATGCCTCTGAGGCTGGGTATTTCCTGGTGGGAGTATTAGTGATGTCAGCCCTGTCTCCTCTGGGCACATCATCATAAATGCCATGAGCTCCTCTCCTCTGTCCCAACTCCAAGGCACACTTTAGGAACACCTCCTTTATTGGTCCTCTTACCTGGAGGTTCTTTGAGTCCCAGTTTGGGATAGAGAAACTGAAGATTTCTATCCTACCAGATTTCTATTTTAAAAAATATGATTTTAACACTTGGGGATGAAAACTGGGCTCTGTAAAGATGTTGACACCTGAAAATATCTTCAGCAATTACATTTTCCAAGTAATTACTCTCAAGGAAATAGCAATAAGTGCAGGCCATTTACGATTCCCTCCAATAATCCATTTTAGGGCAGGAAAACTTCAGGTAGTGGAGATTTCACTTTGAAATGGCATAACAGGCTGGGTGTGGTGGCTTATGCCTATAATCCTAGCACTTTGGGTGGCTGAGGTGGGAGGACGCTTGAGGCCAAGAGTTCGAGACCAATCTGGCCAATATAGCAAAACCCCTCTCTCTAAATAAAAATGAATAAAAATTATAAAAAGAGAAATGACATAAGACCCAGCAATTGACTATGTTTCCAATATGACCTTTATTGAGCAAGTACTGCTGTGACGTTTAACATCGATCAACATAAGATTGCAAACTGTGCATGTCAACGAGGTTCTCCCATGAACAAAAGTCCATTTTAAATGCACCAGTGAGGTAAACATAGTTATTCATATACAGCTTTCTTAAGGCTAAGAGAGTTCTCTGTTTCATTTGTTGTATTTGGCTCAGTTGGTACTTTGCATAATACATCCCAAGACATCCCCCCCGAGTGACCCCCTTCTGACAGCTTAGGAAATTGGCCAATTTCCCCGGTACATACAATATCATGCATTTGAATCCCCCAAAGACTGAGGAGGGAGCACCCTGAGCTTGCATGCAGTCCCCTCATATTGCACAAAGTAAAATACAATGTCTGGAGCCCCCATGGGAGAACCCGTTCTGTTTTGAAGCTGCCAATCACATGCATTTTGAAATTGTCATATGGCTTAACCTTCTGCAATGGACTCAAATCTTAGTCACTCTGGGTGACTTCCTTTACTATGGCGTGTGAAGTGACCTTTTCTACCTTTTTAGTAGACACTAGTTTCTCCTCAAAGGTCTCTTCATGCTCTTCGACCTTTTGAGTGACGGTTACAGATTTAGTGATGTATTTGGTAGCACCATCTCCCCCCTCACTGATTTTTTCTACCGTTTTAGTCACCATCACTTTCTCCTCACTTTTATCACCCCCCTTCTTTTCGTCTGCTGGGCTCAAGTCTAGGCCATTGGTGACAACGCCTTTCTCCTCTTCCCTCCCACTGCCCTTTTCCTTGGTCTCCTGCTCCTCCTCCTCTTTTCCTTCTACCTCCCCATTGACAGCTATGTCTTCCTTCCTGGATTCCTTGGAACCTTTATCACTCACTTCCTTCTCGCTCCGTCCCTCTCCTGCTTTCTCCTTCTCCTTCTCCTGCTGCTGTGGCTTCCCCTCTTCTTTAGTCTCCTTTTCTAAGTGCACCTTTACCGATTTGGTGATGGTGACCACCTCCTCCATGGCTTCCTCCTTTACTGGGGACTCAGCTTTCTTCTTCTCTGGCACATCCTTTGGTTTCTCTTCCTTTTTCTCTACCTTCTCTTCCTTGGGAGCTTCCTTGACTTCCTTTCCTTCTTCCTCTTTCTGTTCACCTTTTCCCACTTCTGCTTTTGATTTTGTGTCTTCCACTGGTGATTTTGGCACAGGAGACTTGGCTTTTTCTGGCTTTTCCACCTTGGCGTCTACCACCAGCTCCTCCTTGGTAGCCACTTCCTCACTCTTTTCCTCCACTTTCTTTTCCTCTTTAGCTTCAGCTTCTTCTCCTTCCCCTTCAGCCTCTGCTTCTCCTTCTTCCTGCTCACCTTCTTCTTTTTCACTAGAGCCTTCCTTCTCGGATCCTCCCTCTTCGGCTTGGTCTGACTTAGCGCCCTCATCTTCTTCCTCCTCTTCTTCTTCCTGGCCTTCCTCTGCTTCCTTTTCCCCTTCCTCCTCTCCTTTAACTTCAGGTGCAGTAGCTTTCACTGGAGACTTTTTGGCAGCTACTTCCTCTTCTTCAGCTTCCGGTTCCTCTTCCTTTTCTTCTGCTTCTTCCTCCTTCACTTCCTTCATGGAAATGGCCAATTCCTCTGTAATGGCTGCCAGGGCATCTTCCATTTCTGACTTCTCATCCTCCACTTTGGTTTCTTCTATGATCTCCTCAACAAATTTGTGTTGGACCTTAAGCTTGGGAGCTTCGACCTTGGCTTTCTGAATTTTACTAGTTATTGTGACTGAGGGCTGTCGGTGTGTGTACAGTGGCCCAGTGATGCTTCCTGCAAATGTACTAAATCTGGTCTCTTCACCCTCCAAGAGTTTTCTAAGGAGAAGGTCAAAGAACAGAAAACATAGTAAAAATTTCATTGGGCCTTCTGAGCTTCATTACATTCTGGGTATTGCAGTAGCTACCTTTGAATTAATAGAATTACACAAGTAAAATATTCTATCAGTTCAGTATAATATCTGCTATTACTTATTGGCATATTATGTCCTACTCAGTGATAGAGAAGGATTCTCCTGGACTGCCAGACAGCTGTCCCCTGCCATAACTAATCTTGCCCAATAGTCCACTGACCACACCCAGCTACTAAGTCTTGGCTCTGCAGTAGAGATCCATTAGGTGCAACATGAATTCTTGAGCTGAAAATCTCGTTAGTGGCCAAATAAAAAAAGCAAAAAGAACCCCCCCAAAACAAACAAACAAACAAACAAACAAACAAACAGAAACCCCAGACTCCAAAGCCAAACAGCCTTTCTGAGATTAGTGACTTTCTTAAACATTTAGAGTTTCAGGATATGTACTATTTTTAAAGCAAATGTAACTTTCATAAAAATCTTACTGTTAAGCATATTTCAGAACTCAGCCAGGTGTTAATATGGGTGTATTAAGTTATAAATTGGTAGATTTTTTTTCATCATGAAGTGTCTATTTAATATAGTTATTCAGCTTTCCTGAAAAGAGAGATAGCTCTGTAAGTGCAATTTATTCTTGTTTTATTATAACCACCTTATTGGTAATAGGAAAACTTTAATCAACGATTTTGTCCTTTGAGCTTAGTCAATAGCAAGGTCACATCAGTTAGCAGACCTATAACCTATCTGTCTATGTATAAAAAGATCATACATAATTGTGTCTCTATATTTAGATATACATATGCACATATATGTATAGATCTAGATTAATAATATACATGATGTATAGACAATTTATACTATAGTCTAGCATAAAATATAATACATATAAATTACCTACATATATAAAGTAACTATATCTATAATATATCAATCTACATCTATTCTCAGCCAGATGATGGCAATAGTAAGCTATATAACAGAGAAACAGAGAAATAGAATGTCCTGGTGTTTGTCCTTGACATTATACATTTGAAAATCTGAAACCACTAGATGAAATATTAAAAACCAGAACTCTGTTCGTGCTTCCAGCATTTGAAAACATTTTTCCATAAAAAGTTTAAGCATATGCATTGAGATTAATCTGTACCTCCTTTGTGTCATTCAAAAACCTTTTGTTTCTACTAGTATTCATTCTTTTAAAGCGGCATAAAAAGAGAGAAAACCACAATTGCAATTCCTTAGAATAATTTCTTTTTAAGTATGCAAGAAAACTAGACACCTAGTTGATGCCTGCACCCTGCCTGCTTTAACTTAAGTGGTGAAGGCTCTGACTGAAAAGCCTCTGCACTGCGGTTAGTGTTCAGGCCATACACGCAGTGAGCACCGTACCTGTACGCAGCAATTTCTATATCCAGAGCCATCTTGACGTTGAGGAGGTCCTGGTATTCGCGCAAATGACGAGCCATTTCCCACTTTGTGCCCCGAAGCTCATTTTCCAGCTGCTGGATGGTGTCCTGAAACAGACACAGAGAGTCTCCCTAGACTTATCCTTGCAAAGAGCAACTTCCCTCGCAAACCACTTGCCAACCCTTCCGCCTCGCATCCTCCCACCCAACTCCACGACTGCAAACCTCGCGGACAGCGCTCCCAGCCCCCCTCCCCCACCCCCTTTTTAAATCGAAGGGATTCTCAAACGAACAAACAACATCAATAAGACAATAGGAAACTTCCTGGGCACATCAGACACGGAGACCAGAGGACTTAGAACACGTCTCAACGGGACACAAACACGCATGGGGAAACTCCATGGCTGACCTGGCCATTCCCATCTGAGCCCTTTGGGCTGAAGCCAATTTTGAGAGCTCTTCCGATCACTGCCGGAAAAGTAGAGAATACACGCGTTTCTGCATAAGCTATCCTAAAGCTGATGCTTTATCCACTACTGAAAGCATCCCTCCTACTTTAAACGTGTAAGAGTGCAAAACTAGAACTGAAAAACAGGCACGTTTTTGAGAAAGGTCAAGACTCTTAGGCAGCTGGGGCAGGTGGGTGGGGGCGGAGAGTGGAGGAGGAGGGGGCCAGGATGCCGGTGAGCAAGTAGCTTAGGTCTGCGGCGCGCGCTCTAGCGAGCGGCCGCCAGGGAGCGCGGCAGAGAGGGCGCCTGGGCACGCGCCCGAGTGTCGGGGGCGCGCGGCGCTGGCGCTGGCGCAGGCTGGCCGCGCAGCCGCGGTTTCTACCTGGTAGCTGCTGAGGTCGTGGTTGTGGCGCTCCTCGATGTCGCTGAGCTGCCGCTCCAGGGACTCCTTGGTGCCGCGCACCGACTCCAGCTCGATGCTCTTGGACTGCAGCTGGCGCCGATACTCGGCGATCTCTTCCTTGGCGGAGCGGATGGCCTCCTTGTTCTGCTCGGCCGCCTCGGTGAGCTTGGCGTAGCGGCATTTGAACCACTCTTCGGCCTGGTGCATATTCTGGTCGGAGTGGCACTCGAGCTGGGAGCGGATCTCCTTCAGCGCGGATGAGATGTCTGTCTTCAGGTAGTCTTTGCGCTCCACCGTGATGTGCGAGGCCTGGATCTGGGCCAGGAGGTCGGCCACCTCCTCCTCGTGGTTGCTCCGCAGGAAGGCCACCTCATCCTGCAGCGACTGTACCTTCTTGTCCAGCTCCACCTTGACCAGCGACGCCTCCTCGATGTCTTTGCGCAGCGCGCGGATGGCCGCCTCGGTGTCGTCGCGCAGCCGCGCCTCCTCCTCGAAGCGCTCCTTGAGCCGGTGGATGTCTTCCTCCAGGTGGTCCGAGTCCAGCTGCACCTGAGCCTTCTCGTGGTTCACCATCTCCAGCGTGGCGCGCAGCTCGCGGATCTCCTGGTCGTACGCGTCGCCCAGCTGGGCGTGCGAGGCCTGCTTCTGCCGCAGCGCCTGGATCTCTGCCTCGATCTCCTTGTTCTGCTGCTCCAGGTAGTGCACCTTTTCGATGTAGCCGGCGAAGCGGTCGTTGAGCCCCTGCAGCTGCTCCTTCTCGTTGGAGCGGGACAGCTTGTAGTCGCCGCCGGGTCCGGAGCCGCCGTTGAGCAGGGACGAGGACTGGCTGAAGTCGAGGCTGCTCTCGGCGGAGCTGAGCATGGCCGAGCTGTAGGCGAGGCGCGGGGCGAGCATGCTGCGCTTGTAGGAGGAGGACACGGTGCTGGGCGAGCCGCGGGACCACGACTGCGAGCGGAAGCCGCTGGACGGGGAGCCGCTTACGCGGCTGAAGCTCGAGCGGGTCTCCGTTACCCGCCGGTAGGCGGACGGGTTGCCCAGCGAGTCCAACGTGTAGCTCATCTTGGAGGCCTTGGGGCGTGTGGCTGTCACAGCGTTCTGCCGGCCTCGCCGCAGCCCATTTATAGCCGCGGCGCTGGTCCCGGGCCAGGGCCCCGCCCAGTGGAGGCGGCGGCCGAGGAGGCGGGGACTGCGGGCACCGGTCGGGGAGGAGGGGAGGGGGCGGCTGAGCGGTGATTCAGCACCCGCTCCACGTGCACGGGGCCGCATCGACCCGGGACCCCGGACTTTGCTGCCTGGGGCTCAGCCCCTCCCTTCAGGTCCCTTTTCAGTCCCAGGCCACTTGTCTCCGGGCGTTCTCCTTCTCCCCATTTCTCAACCCCCGTTTCGCACCCTTGGTTCGAATATCACCAGCGCCCTTTCTTTGTCTGTCACTGTCCCGCCGTTCGTGCAGCACTTCCCCGACACCCTGGAGGTCCCCTTGTTCTTTAGCCCTCTACACTCTTATCCTCAAGCCTTTCTCTTCTTTTGCAATTTCCCCGGTACTTTTTTCTTTACCCATCTTCTGTGCTTAATCCCATCTAATTCTTTTTTGGCCCGTCTTCTCCCTCCTACTGGCCTTCCTTAGTCCCGTTCACCCCGCCCCTCTCTCAGCCCCTTCCTCGGAGGGACCCTTTTCTTCCAATCTTTCCTTCACCCCGTCTCCTCCCTCCCCTCCCCCTGCATTCCCTCTTCTCCCCTCCCCCACCCTCATCTGTTCTTGCCTCTCTCCCCTTCCCCCACTCCTTGTCTTAAAGCAGCTGGAGATGAGCGCAGAGGAGCTGAGTCTAGAAGAAAAAAGAAAGACTTTGAGGAACGGTCTGCCTGAAGGCTAAAGAGAACAGGCCGGGGTAGTTATTTGTATTAAAAGTGGGATATGGCATTTCTAACGTTTGGGGAACGACCGCAGCTTCCGCAGGGGCAGAAGGTAAGGCGCTTGTGCTCGCTATGGCGCCGGCAGCACCAAGGACAGCGCCCAGGCCGGCTAGTGGGGGGTGCGGCCACCCTGGGGGCTTGTCACCCAGGCTGGCCTGTCAGGTTGGCAGGGGGCAGGGAGTTCCCTTCCCCCTCTTCTCTCCGAGTAAATACAATTTAAACCTGCCTGTAGTGACTTTCTTTGCAGGAGCGAAGCTGGAATCGCAGGCTAAGACTTCTCTGCAATGCGGGGCTGGCACAAGGAACAGATTGCAGATGTTGAAAACAACCAAAATTCATTAATGTCAGTAAACAGAAATTTATACTTGTAGCCCAGTTTGAGTTTTGTAACATACGATGGACATAGGAAATGAAGAGATACAGGGCCTGGAATGTGAAGGTCAAATGCTCCTTGGAAAGGAGAATTTGAAATTTGTTGGGATGAAAACTCCAGGGAAATATAGTTTTTGATAAGTTTGGACACAAACAATTGTCTTGCCATCTTTCGGTTCAGTATTCTCTATGTGTAATTGCAATGACTGAAAAGGCATCTGAATTAACTTTAAATTGATTTAAAAGTTGCCGAACAGATTCTCCACAACATTGAATAAAACCAGGTGTCTTCCCTCCATTTAAAATGTAATATATTTTTCCTTTTAGATTTTAATAATTGATTTGGAATAGATTTTCTATATCATTAAACATGTTTATGTAAACAAGGACTCTACACAGACTTCTTGCTGTCTGGAGTACTGTTAAAATGTCCCTTTATTTTGGGTAGTGCTTTGGGGGTAATTCAGGTTTAAAAAGTTCAGAATACTACAAGGCAAAGTAAAGAAGAGATTGCAGAACTAACAACAGCGCTGGGGCCACAGGTAAAGTGACAGAATGTGAAATGCTTCCTATGGGTGAGAAGAAACTACTGCTTGTAAAAAGTAGGGACTTCACACTTAAATAGCTTCTTTTTACAGCATGTTTTCTCAAGTTTCTGTTTTATTAAATGACAGGATCATATTCATCAGTGAGTAATCAGGAAAGGGGTGGGTTTCTAGAGGTTTAATTTTTTATTTTTATCAGCTCTTTTGCGCCATTTATATTAAAACAGAAATAATATTTTAAATAGGAGGTGCTAATTTTGGGAGTTACTTATGGTTTATTAATGTGAAACTGCAGCATCACAGGCCATGTAGGAGAAGGATGTTCTAGTTCGCTGAGAGATCTTAGGCAAGCAGAGCCCATCCATGTCTTAAGTTGTTGAGACAGACAGATGATGGAATGAGGGGATTGGCTTGTGAATACTGTAAAAACAGGATTTTCTGGTTTTGTATAGGTAAATAAAGGAAAAGAGAAAGAAAACTCCCTGCCTTCTGTAAAGTACTGCAGATGTCAGGGTTGGACTCAGCAGGATGCCATCTAGATAAGGCCAAATGCTAATTATGCAGTCATTTTGCCTTTGTTTCTTATTGCTTTCTGCTTTTATTAAAATATATACAAATCTTTGGCAATTTCATGGTACACATTCACTGCAAACTCTGCAATGACAGCACATGGTTAACCGGCAGGCTTCTGCTGTTAGTTTTCTTTGGGGCTTTGGAAATGAGATGACTCTGCAGAGAGACATTTACAAGGAAACACATGTCTAACTTCACAATTACCCAGTTTTGCCTTGTATCTAAAGTAGCTCAGAAATTGTTCAGCTTCCAGCTGGTTACAGAAGGAGGAAAGTGTTGCGTACAAACAAAATAAGAGCCAGTTACTCAGGCTACATCTAGTGCCTATAGCTTAAAATTGTAACTTCAGTGTCACATGATGTATTGTTCAATCTGGGCACTACAGACGATGTGAAGAATTAGAACAGTTGCCTTATTAAGGAAAAACAGTTCTCATGGCTTAAAAAACGATGGATCCAGTTTCACATTTAGCAAAATGTTTTGTTTTATATTAAACTCTTTCACTTTACTCTTCCTAGAGGTGATTTGAAGGTTATACCCATCAGTAAATTTAGTATAAAAACTTTTTTTTAAAAAGCTGTAACAGATGTTTTCTAATTTTGTCTCATGGTTTTGAAGAACATTTACCACCTTAACAGTTTTCACAGAAAGAAATGCTTTTGCATTTTTTAAACCCTAGCGACACTAAGGCTATGAAATCGTCTCGAAATATTAAAAAGAGAGGAAACAATCATGGCAATTCACCTGAATTTACCACACTGCATTCATGGAATTAAGTTTGACTACAATACTTTGTAATTGATTCTAAATAGAGAAGTTATATGATTTAGATGTAAGACTTTTAAATGAAATTATCTCTGAATTGTTGTTTCATAAGCTACAGTCTGTTTTGAATCACTTTATAGAGAAATACAAGGCATGCTCCAATCTATGTGTTCCTTCAGTAGGAAAAGTGCAAATGTTAACTTTGTAACTAAGAGACAGCCACTGTCAGGTTTTTTAGGGTGTCATCTAACAATGGGAAAAACTCTTTTGCAAAGGGTGTATATTTATTGGGTCAAAAAATAAAGATAAAAAATAAGGAGCTGGCCATTTTCTCCCATCTTTCCGTATTTCCTTACATTTCTTCTTTTAAAGAGTATTTTTGGATATACAAAAATGCAAGGAGGATGGGATGTAGGAACCGGATAACAAACAAGATACTCCCGATGGACGACGCCACTGTCAAATTGGTAGGCTGAATCCATCCAAGATGAGATGATCTGTACTTTCTTTCAACCTATTGTGTTTTGAACCAAACCCTTTTGTCTGGGATCTGGTTCTAGAACTCATAATAATTATTTACAACCTGTCCTCTGAGAATTATTTAAGGGGTTTTTGATGTAGGAAGCTAGTCACTTAGTCTGCCGGAGTAGGAACATAAGGAAAACACCATATTACATATTTCTACTTGAGCCTTGGGATGTCAAACTTTAAAAAAGCAGGTTTGACTTTTGCTTTTGTTGTTGTCAAAAGTTGAAAGCAAAATAAAAATATCCTCAGGGGAGAAACGCTGTTTCTTGTCAGGGAAATTGGGATATACATGTATGTCCCTATTGTCTTTAATCAAAACAAATCCATCTGGACCACAGTGTTTCTTTTCTGTCATTAAGCACTGAAACGGTGTTTGTTTCCCTTGCCAAATATTTTATTCATGTGAGTGTTGCCTTCTATTTTTCCGGGGTTGTTATGAGGTTAACTGAAGTATTTACAAAACTTAAAACGTTTTATCTTTATTTTATTCCAAATATTAAATTAATCAGCTTTGAAATTTTATATATGGAAATTTCATGTGTGGTGGGGAAAAATTTAGCTTTCGCCTTTAACACAGCTTGCTGATTTTTTTTTTTTTTTTTTTTTTTGCTGTGTAATGCTTTCACCTCTCCACTCTGAATCAGTTCTGTGAAAGCCAGAGGAGAAAGATTTAGAATTTTATAAAGTATTTAATAGAGCCTTGCTAAAAGTGATTCTAAAAATAAATTTCAGTAGATGCATAATGAAACAGTTCTCCTGTACTAATGTTTAGCATGTTTTTAATTGAACCCGTTAGCTTTACCTACCAAGCAGCAACAGATCTTGATGATTTGCACTTGAATTTTGAAAACCCTGCATTGCACGTAACTGCACCAGTGCAGTTATGAAATATTTATAACATATTTTATCCCAAGCATACCAAGGTCTGACTTAGCAAGAAACATAGTTCTTTTATTAGAAACTCTTAATTAAAATGAGCCTTGTAAAACTAGAGCAGATCAATGATCATTGGAGCAAATTTCTGAAGAGCTAAACCTGAGAACATAAAGTCATAAAGAAAACCCACCTAATAATTCAGTCTCGTTGTCCCGGGACTGGGTGATATTTTTTCAGTCTCTGCAATTTTGAAAATCAATATTCTTTAATAACCCTTTGAAAATGGGCCCACTGTCGTAGCTCTCTTGTCACTTAGCTTACCAAGAAGAGCATATATTTTAGAATATTTAACTTACTTTTTTGGTTAAAATTTATATATATATATACTATATATATATATATATATATACTATATATATATATATATAGTATATATATATATATATATAGTGTAGAAATTTATGAGATGTAGAGAGACAATCATTTAAGTATTTTCTTCTAGTCGTTTTCTCTGTAATTTAAATATAAATAGAATCTTTCTGTTTATATGATTCCATGTCCTGTTTTGTAAAGTAAATATATCTGAATAAGTAGTTTGTTATCTTTAGAGGAAAGAGCCTGGTCCTGTTTGCCATGAAAGCTGGGCTGGGTATTTAACTTGCATTTTCTCTTAAAGAAAGATTTGTAAAGACCCTTTAGATCAAGAATGGTAAAATAATAATAGCTATTATTAATAGCAATAGTAGATCAAGAAAGCCTAATTGGGTTTGATATTAATTTCTGTCTCGCTTTCTGCCTGCCTCTCTCTCTCCCTGGTTATTGAGAGGAATGTCATCATGAAGCTGAGGGCGGTGGTGTGACAGCTGGAGGTGGTAACTTGTAATAACTTATAATGTGGCCTAGTCAGGCCTGAATACTGTGTTCTTCTATACGTAGTGGTATGCTACATCCCACGCCATCACATCAGACTTTTACATTTGGACAATGCTTTATATCAAAGAAGCCAAGCAAAACAAAACAATGTAATCTCATCTGAGCTGTGCACAAATTGTTATTCCCATATTACAGTTGATTACATTGATGGTTTGTCCAAGGTCATATGTCTGGAAAGCAGTAGAGCCTAGGCCAGAACTCCTATCTTCTGACACCTGTGCTAACATCAGAACAAGTTTCTTTAGTAGATTATAAACTCCAGTCTCAATGAGCAAGGAAAGGAAAGTAGGCAGATCATAGTCATACCAATAAAAATCACTGGTATTTATTAAGAGCTCACTATGTGCTGGGCACTGTGCCAAAACTTTACTGGGTTATCTCATTTAATCATCACCACAACCCTTTGAGATGACACTTTTGTGGAAAGAGCAACTGAGCACAGAGGCACAGGGAGGCTAATTACCACACACAGTTTAGAAGTGGTGGAATGAAGACAGGGATTGAGGCGTCTCTGGCTCTGGAGGGCAGTCCTTAGCACTATCATCAGGAGGCCATCTCATTTAAAAGCTAATTGTTAAACTGCTAGGTCATGTTAAAAAGATTCAAGAGCCACTATACATCCTTTTGGTGCATTTTTCCTATTTATATAAAAACAAAACATCTTTATATTTTTTCAGCTAAGCATTATTTCATGGTTTGTGACTTTATTAAAGACATTAAAAATAAAAACTTTGAATTACTTGTCTTTGTTATATTGTATTCTAAATTAGTTTTCTGTGTAATTTGAAGTACATCAAATTTATTCTGCTAGTCCATGCTCTGTGGATAATATCTCTAATCATGTACCTATTATTTTTCCTGGTATATATTTATCACTCACATTTAGATACAATTTTTGTTTTTCAGAAGAATTTTAATTTGTACTGTACATTATTTTAACATCATATCATTTATTTACTAATATATATGTTTATACACAGTTGAAACGACAATCTTTTAATCATGTATTCACAATTTTTTGTAAACTCTTTAAACTAAATCTACTTTGAGAGATCCAATAAGAAGCTTTTGAATCTTGGCAGAAGAAAAAGCTTGGCCCCCAGTCTTGAGCAGCGAAGGTTTACAATAGGATGGTTGGCAAGGAAGCAGCTTTTAAAATCTATTAAAATCTATTAAAATAGTGAAGAGCCAGCCATGAATAATTTTCGGTGAATCTCTTGATCATCTATTTTATATACTAAAAAATCAAGGTTATGTGACTGTACTTATATAGGTTGCCTGGAGACCAGTCAGCCTTAATCCATTTCTGTTATCTGTAGGACAAAGTGCTTTGACTCAACCTTATTTTCACTTGTATAAATCTACTTTGGTTTCTGCTTTATCAGATAGGGTCAAGGAAGAGAACCATTTCTCATTTTTCCTGAGCAAAAATTGATCTTGGAAAAAAAAATCTATGCTATATTAGTCATGGCAGCAAGCAGCTTCTCGATCTAGATTACACAAAATTATTAAGGAATGAATGCCTAATGATACAAATTCCTCCTCAGCCAATGTGCCTCATTTCATGCAATCTGTTGTGTTTTCTCCTGCCTCCTGGTGGTATCTGTGGCCCCTTCCTTCTCCCATGCTCTATGTACCTTGGAAACCTGCACTTTTGGAGACTTAAGGGTGAGACACTTGGTACACTCATGTGTCACCGTTGAGCCATTTGAAGGTTAGTGAAGACCCTATATCATGTCTGTGAAATTCTTCTGCTTCTGGCTAGCTAGTCTCTTGTAGGCTTCCTCGACTGGGGCCTAGGAAACCTCCGCTTACCCTTCCCTATTTTTGACCCATGCATTCCTCCTCTCAGTCCCTGAACATGATTGCCTGTGGTCCAGTTGGGTACTACCACCTGCTGGCCATTTAAATAATGTCTCAACACTGACTAACCACAAAATTCTAACTGCAGATCTAAGTCTTATCTCTTTTTGTACATCCCATAGTGTTTTACTGATAGTGAGTGCCCAATAAACATTTGTTGTGTGAATGAGTAAATGAAGTTCCACCTTTTCCCCCTAAAACTTTCATTCAACAAACAATGTCTTCAGTATCAGCCACTGTGCTGGCCACTAGGGAAACATGGAAGGCAGGATCTTAGCTTGGATGGACACAGTCTACTGAAGGATTCAGGCAAGTAAAGACCTAGTTACCTTGAGAAAACTGTTTCTTACATAGCTAGAGGTAAACAACATGTGTCATGAGAGCACAGAGGAGTGGTAAGAGTCAAAGACCCTCTATGAGAGCTTTCTAGAAGAGAGGGCACCTGATGAAAGTTTGAAGGCATAAGTAGGAATTGCTTAAGGAATAAGAGGAGGGGAGGGCAGGCACAGTGTTATCAAAGACCTGCAAGTGACTAGGATAGCAGGGAGCATCCCAGAACAGAGAGACAGGGTTATGTAGCACAGGCCAGGAAGAATGGGGCACAGAGTCCAGGCTGGAGAGAAGTGGGGGACATTGTAGCCCAGGCTGGAAAGGGAAGCAGCGGAGAGACCACAGGGGGGCTTCTTATGTTATGACCGGGCCTTTGCATTCATCCCATAGCTGATTAGAGGCAGTTGAAGCGTTTAAGTGGGATAGTGACCTGGTCAGACTGGTTTGTTAGAAAACTCACTTTGGCAGAGGGGAGCAGAAGGTGGAAAATAAAGTTGGAGACTATTGCAGGAATCCAGATGAGATTAGAGGAAGATGCAAATTAAGAAAGGTGGATGAGAAGAGGCAGGTACTAGAGTGGAATGGAAGGGCTTGCGGGCAGAGGGAGACAGTGATGTCATCCCCCGTATTTATTTCCTGATTCTGCTGCAACAAATTGCCACACACCTGCTGGCTTAAAGGAACACATATTTACTGTCTTACAGTTCTGGAGGTGAGACGTCTAAAATTGGTCTCAGTGGGCTGAAACCAAGGAGGGGCAAGCGGTGTTCCTTCTGGGGGTTCTGGGAGAAAATCCCTGGCCTTGCCTTCTCTGGTTTCTAGAGGCCACCTGCGTTCTTTAGCTCAGGGCCCCTTCTTTTGTTTTCCAAACTAGTGATGCAGCATCTTCTCTCCTCACTGACCTCTGTTCCATCTCACATGTCGTTCTCTCACTCGGACCCCCCTGCTTTATCTAAGATTCTTGTGATGACACAGACCCCCTGATAATCAACATTAGTTTGCTAGGGCTGCCATCACAGACTCAGTGGCTTAAACAACAGTTTATTTTTTTTTTATAGTTCTGGAGGCTGGAAGTCTGAGGTCAAGGCGTCAGCAGCGTTGATTTCTTCTGAGGCCTCCTTGGTTTACAGGTGCTGTCTTCTCTCTGTGTGTTCACATGGTCTTCCTGCAAGATGTGTCTGCCTCATAATTTTCTCTTCTTATAAGAATCTTAGTCATTGGATTACGGCATATCCTAAAGAACC